TTTGGTTAATAACCATTCAGAATCCCCACCCACCTAGACGTGAGGGGAAGCGGGAGCATTGATTCCAGGAGGTGGGGGACTTGCTAATGCAGTTCAGCCTTTGTGTTGTTTCTACCATATATAACAGTAAAACTGTCCTCTGGATCAGACTCTGATCTCAGCGTCCACCAGCAGAACTCCGACGTAACTCAAGAGCGTGGCAGAGCGGCTGTGGTAAAGCTATTATAGAAGAGAACTGCCAGAGCACAAGGCGGCAGACAGCTTTCCCTCACTGAAATATACAAATTTCCACTTACATAAAATGCTCCACATCACTAGGGTCTGGTTTTAATCACAGCATCTGCAGCCCAGCTTCACAACTTGCACTTTATGACTCAGATGGCAGTTGCCAACTGGATGGAAATCCCTCAGTTTCTGACAATTGACACAGGAACTTTCAAAAGCATCATTCCAGGACCAGTGCATGAGCTTAACACTTTCCCCTTCCCCTAGAAATCACACTCCCAGGCCCTGATCTCTGTTAAATACATTCACTGATTTCAGGCAAAATTAAAGTCACGGCCCCTGATCCTTCAACCGAGCCCTCTCAGACAGAGCCTTACTTGCATACATGAATCCCATGACCCAGATGATTATAGGACAGGAACTGTGCTTCTGCTATAGGGTTTGTTTTCAAAAAATTGGACTTCATTCTTAATGTTAAAGTGCATGCCAGTGCCAGGACTTGGGCAGCCAGGCCTGGGGGCCAGTTCCGATCAAGGCTGCTGTATTCAGGTAAGAACCAGCATCCAGGGACAGCCTGAGTCAGGAAACCAGGAAGTCAGGAAATAGAATTACCAAAGATGCAGCCTTACATCACAAAAAACCCTATTACCCAGACACATCCTGGTCCTCTCTTTGGTCTTATACAGAGGAAGGGGAAAATCAGGTGACAGGAGTCAGTTACTGAGGTATCAGGGAGTAGCCAGAGACTCTGGGACAGAGATTTTGAGTAGATCTTACACAGCTTTTTGGAACAGCAGTAGGCTGGTAGATGGGGTAGATGACTGTGTTGGTCGGAAAAAGGCCCAGGGTTCAAGACTACAGATTTGACAGTGGGGCATCTGTCCTTGACCCTAGGGATAAGCTTGCCTTCCTAGGCAATGCAATATTTGTCTCAGCCAAAGCTTGATAAGCTACATTCTAGCCTTATTTATACCTCCACAAGATTGCTGGCCAGTGGCCCCAGGTGCAATTAGATGTTGGAAATGGAGCAAAACAAGTCCAGGTCACTGCCTGGAGAGAGAGGTGACTACTGTATATCATCCCCTTCCGCTGTCATATTATATGATGAGCATTGACAGAAAGACATGTGATCAGCCAAAGAGGAGTCAGAAAAATGCACCTCTCCTCCCTCAGCATTGTAGCTTACGATCCAGTGAGCAGTGAGCAGTACGGATTTCTATTATTTCTGCAGCAGCTCCAGAATCCAATGGAGAGGGTTACATGTGCATGAACAGAGATCAGGATACCCTAAGTTCTTCAAGATTTGAATCACTGTCCATGTAGGTATGTTGGGACATACACAGTGAGAGCAAGTAACATGCTGCTTTGGTCCTGAACAGCTTCCAGGCCTGTCTACCAGACAGGATCATACAAAAGAAACACAACCACTCCGTTCTGCTCAGGTAAACCTCCAAATGACCTTCTGCTAATCCCAATTCCCCATAAAATCCATCTCAGCTCTTGCCAGTCAGTGCCTGGTAGGCAACGTAAGGGTCAGCGTTTCAGGGTTCACAAGACAGGGGCTTCTCTGGGTTGCCTTGACAGCCAGGATGAGAGGCTATTGGCCACAATTAATGGAATAGATTGAGTTTTAGAACCTTTAATATGGGAGTCTCTGTCTAGGCTGGGTACCCATGGCAACCTCTTAAGCATACATTAAACAAAACACATAATGCCACAGTTCTTGCAGACCAAGTCAAATAGACCAGACACCACTTACCTGTAATAAACATTCACTGATGCCTCCCCAAACCATTGCTGACAGCTCCATCCAGTACCCATCTCCTCACAGACAAAGGAGAGGAGCTAGGACTTGCAACACATCCTAATGGTTTATCCAGGAGGAAGTGAGAGGACCATTTTGGAGGACACTGCTGCGGGCTGCCAGCTCTGTACTCAGATATGCCTGCTGTGTGCCATGACAAAAAGCCAATGCCATGATGTTCCTGTGTAATCTGTCCTAATGGGCCAGTGTCAGTCTGTGTCTGCAGTAAATTGATGGTGTCAAAAAGCCACTTATGTGTACATGCAATGGGAACTGAGACCAGTGTGTGCAAAAAATACAAGCCTGGGCCAGGTCTCTTTTACCAGTACAGTAATGTCACTTAGGGGTGTGATATTCTTATGGCAAAAGCTTAGTACAGACTCAGTCATACTAGCAAAGAAAGATTTTTGCTGATTCTAGTTTGGCCAGGGCTGCATTCTGTCAGTTGGGGGAGTGGAATAATCCCACCCCGAGCCTCCTATTTAGCATGAACACAGCTGTACTGAAAGAAGCTTGTCCACCCCCTTTACTTTGTCAGTGGAAGCAAGGGGGGATCTATGCCAACAGGAAAGCCTCTTCTGATGGCATGTGCCACATGTCCACAAGGGGGCCATGGAGGCCTTGATTTGCAGACGCAGCTCCACACCCCAGGTTCTAGCACAGGGAAACCGGCTTCCTTTTTGGAATGGGTGTGAATTGTACCATCCACTGCCAGCTTGTCTACAGCACAAGCATTGCTGGTGTAGCTGAACCATCAACACTTTTTTAATGGACGTGAGGTGTTCAGATATGAATGATTTGTACAAGGCTCTTCTCCTTATGGCCAGTATGCCAGTGGCACTCAAACTCTGGCCTGTAGAGCTCCTTCCAGAACCACAGGACCAAATTTCCAGAACGGTGGGGAACCCCACAGTCTGGATGATGTGGCCCCTTGTGCTGGACTGCATCTCCGCATAGCTGTACTGTGGCTGGATCCAGCATGCAGGGTTGTGTTGGCACACCAGATCACACCCACGGACCAGCACTACGAACCATCCCCACGCTGGACCCTGCCGATGAACCAGCCCCACATGTAGGATCTAGCCCATGGACCAGCCATGCAACACTTGTCCAGCCTACAGCGCTAGGTAGGTTGAATGCCAACACCAATAAAGCCTTATCACCACAGGAACGTAGCAGTCTGGGGAAACAGAGTAGCATTCTGCATCTTGTTTTACAGATGGAGAACTGAGAAGTCAGGAGACTGATTTCAAAAGCACCAAGCACCAGCAAGTGCTGTTAACTTCATCTAGAGAAAGGCGTGCTCAGTAGCTCCGAAAAATTAGGTCCTGGGTGGGACCTTTTTCTGGGGCTATGTGAGCTGCTCAAAATTATCCAAGGAGGCCATGGCAGAGCTAAAAATTAAATCCAGCTGTTGTGAGTCTTACTTCTATGCCCTAAACATAGGATCATCTTTTGTCTGAAGATAATCAAAAGAAAGAAAAAGGGGGAATTATTTTTGCTCAGCTAAATTATTTTTCCTTCCAGCTTGTAACAACCGCAGGCTGGCAGGGTCTTTCCTTGCTTATTATTACTGATAAATGTTGGTACAAGCTTGCATTCATAGTAAATCACACTAGTTGCAGGAAACCTTAAAGGAAAATGTGGTGCTACATACTGCAATGTTAGCAACTAAAGATTTTAGCTTTGTTTTAGCACTGAGTCACAGCCAGCTACAATGTAAAGACACAATTTATGCTGAAGACAGTACTAATGCTGGAGAGAAGCTGGTCTGAAGCTGATTCCCACCTTACTAAAAGTTCTGGGGTACTTTTTTTGGTAAGAAAAAGCATATGGAACTTTTTTGGTATGAATAAGATGTTGGCTGTGATTTTCTATTCCAACACAGGAAATTCTGTTAATTCTGCCTACATTTTCTCTGAAAAAACTGGATGTACTATTCTTCAGTTTCTTTCCCTAGGTATTGAATATTATGGTCAGGAAGGCCACAGCTCCTCATCTTTACCACACTGAGGACAAATTTTTGTCCATATAAATGCAAGCTGTACCCTTTCCATGTTACAGGAAGCAAATTACTGAATGCAGCAGACTGAACAAGTAGGGAGTTCCAAGGAGAAGCTTTACAGTCACAGGATATCCAGGGTCTCTTCCTTAGGATATCAATGAATCCTTGAGGACATGGGAAATTCTTTCAGGTACACGACAATGTTTAACCTCTTTGCACATCCTGGGGTACTCTGGAAGCCATGCAACATATACAAGATGTGCAGTCACACCTAAGTCATACATGTAGATAGAACAGAGTTTACCCAGATGTATATTTTTATAAGTTACTTGACCTCCATTGATCCCCAGCAGACAACCACTTTGTCAGTTTGTAGTCATGGCAATCTGTGTTCAAGAGACTCCTGTAGCAGTGCTTTCATCATTTTTCTAGGCATTTTTAGGGGTTGTGCTAGACAGGAAGATTCTTTAAAAAAACCCAGAAAAACCCAGAAATCCTGGTGCATGAGTACTACCAGCTTGGATCTGGCATCTGAGCTCCAGGACCAGATACACTGGGGATGAAATTTCACCCATCCTCCTGGCTTGGTTCCAGAATGAACTACTGATGGGGATGCCCATAGGAAGATCTCTCTATTATGAGTGGTCCACATAATCCCCAGGAGTCCAGACCTTTCCCCCACAGCATGTAGCATACAATGGCTCAGCTGAACTTCAATCCTGGCAGCTAAGGGAGCACAAAGATTGCTCCTTAATTAGTCTCCCAGCACAAGTGGGGAGAGAGCAGGCAGAGCTATGGCTCTGGGGGAGCAGCCCTTGGGCAGATGCAGCAGTTTGTGTTCTGCCCCTGCTTCAGGAAACTCTGCAGAAGCAGTGCAATAAGCCATCCCCAGTACAGGGCAGCAATGGCCCAATCCTGCCCTAAGTGTTTTGCTGGGATTTTCATCAGAAACTGCTAACAAAACAGTTATGAGTTACGCCCAATTAATTTAATAACTGACCAGACTATACTGACTGGCAACTACAAAATACAAAGTGAACAGGAAAAGTGATGGCATAAAAGTGGGAGGAACAGTGTTTGTTATACAAAAGCAAAACACACTGAACAGCAGTCAAGGGTTCAAATATGACACACATGGGCACATACAACGCTGCATAAGTGACAGCACACACAGATATTTGTTATGCAGGAACTCTGCACGATGCCTGCCTCTTGATTCTCCACTGCATCCATGGGGCGAGGAAGCTGAAGTTCTTTATTCTCTTACATAAATTCTCGTGCACACAACATCATCAGCACCAAAAGTCTGGAAAAGAAACAACAACTGGTCTGCAGAGATGTAATGGGCAGAAATTAAATGCAGTTTGCTTATTATTATATTCCTTTTACTGTACTAGCTAATACAGAGCAGAAATTCAATCTCCTGTGTTCTGTACTAAAATATGGAAAAACATTGCACTTTTGTCTAATTCCAAGAGTAGGTTTTGGAAGGGGGTGTGCTGTAGGTTACTTTCCTTCCCAGACACATGAATTTGGTCAGAATGATAAATGGCCCAGAACCCCAAGTCTTCTACAGCTTCCTAGCCTGCATTTGCAAAAGAACACAAGAGTGGGGAGAGGAGTTGGAATAAGCTACAGCTACAAAATACAAAGTGAAAGCAGTCTCTGAATCAGAGTAGCTGCAGTAGAATGGAGCTCTGCTGATTTGTACCAGCTATCAACCTATGACTGTAAAGATCATGTATGAAGTGGCCTTGCCACACTTGCCAATTGCAATCCTTGCTGTCTGGAGACTGCATAGGCTGTGTGCAATGTCCCTGTCACTGTTCCTGTTCCATTGCTCTTTATCCTACCCTTGAAGGGAGAGATACCTTCATGCAATACCCAACCAGTCCATGGCGCCCTATGGATTCAAGTACTAAATATGCTAGTTCTTATGATGGATTGTGATGTGGACCTACACTCAAGAGGTATCTGGCTGAGACTAAATTAATTTCCCATTATATGACTTTTGGTCATCTGAGAGTTACTGACTCAGTGATTAGGAACTCTCTATGTCACATTAACAGTCCCTTGAGCCACCGTGCTCTCCACCCATCCTCAGTAACTGACCCGTTCATGGAGGTCCTACGTGCTGTGTTCTTGGTGTTATACCACTGACTTAACAGAGTTAGCAATATGTCCCCTAGTGTCTGTCACTCAGTATCATGGAACAGTACTTAACTGGTAATTCCACTGGAGCAGTATCACAATAATGATTATTCAGGACATCAGAGGGAGAACAGTAATTATACTTAATAGAAGGTGAGGGCATTGGCACAAGTGGGTTTGTGCATGCCTGCAGTTCAGACACTATCTAGGCTGACTCTGTAACTGATGATTATAGAGTTAAAGATAGTTAACCATAGAAGGTGAAGCAACCATGGAAAAGTGAGGAAATACTGAAAATGAAAGTTTTCCTTCACTCAAAACAGGTTGGTTTTCAAGGTCCCTTTTAACAAGGGATTGGGCGGGATCCTTTGCTAGCATACACTGATACAGCTCCATTTAATCAAGTGAATCTGGGTCAGCCTCAGGGTGCTGTGAAAACTCAGGTGCACTTTACTTATAAAAAAAAATGATGCCACTGTTTTGTTTGGGCTGTCACCTTTTCAAAATGACTTGGCCAAAAAAGTGTAGCTTAATATTATTGTATTGACCTCACTGACCTTAAGTATTCTCAGGAAGGGAGAAATGGCAGAGGAGTACTGAGGAGTGACAAAGATATCAGCACCATTTTTTTATATAGAGCTGATACTATGCTTAAAAAAAAAAACTTGCACTTCAAAATGTCTGGAAATTAACAGTAAAGGATCTAAGCAACTCCCAAATAATGTATAATCATCATCATTCCCAGTCCCTACCCAGGAGAGACAGCACCTCCCCAGCTGAACCTGGCTCCCTATTAACAATTGCAAGAGCTGTGGCAGAGAAAGGGCATGAGGGACAAACTGGACCCCCACAGGACTCTCATGGTTGTTGTGCTGGTCTACAGTAACTTTATTTAGATTGGAAGGTCTTTGGGACAAAGACTGTATGTTTATTATAAGTCTGTACAGTGCTGAGCACAAAGGTGCCATGGCCCTGGGTGCTGCCTACAGACAGTAAATAACAATAGTCATAAAATTTAAACAAAAAACTGATTTGTAAGGAACAAACTCCTCCCCTCAGGCCTGTGCAATCTGCATTGTCCATGTATTCACAGACAGAAAGGGAATGCTGTAGCAAAAAGATAGACTAGTACAGACACAACTTAGAAGCCTCAGGATGCAACCACTGAGTTGCTAGTGGATCCTGTGAGAAGACTGTGAGCATATTTTACAGAAGAACACGACCTCACATAATCTGGGGGAGGGGGTATGGTGCAATGAAGCAATCAGAAGGATGATTTCTTGGTAATGCTTGTTACAGAACCATGGCAGAGAGTGAGAAAATGAGGTTAGAAACTAAAGAAAAGCAGAATGAATAAATAGTAGTCATGAATAGTGTCAGGTATAAGAAGTGATTTAGAGACAGCTTTTTTCATTATCAGCTTGGACCTACTCACCACCTCCACCAAGAGTAAACCCTGAGTAACAGAACTCTAGTCTTTCTTTACATGTACATTTCTTCCCTAATGATTTCTTCTACCCCATGCAAAGAGGTCAAACCCATGCTAGGTCAAACACACTGCATAGAGTTAGAAGACTCATTTCTGAGTGTTACACACTGACACAACATTTTTCAAACACAGCAACACATTCCTTTGCTGAAGAACCAAACTAGACCACGTGGCTTCTGATATATTATAGAAATATGCTTCGTTTTTTACCTTTTATATGTTATATCATGTAGGTAAGAAGTTATAAAAGGAAGCAGCACACACTGCCTCCAGTATGTTCTCTGAACTAATACTAAACAATGAATTCAGAGACTGACTCAGAGTAAACCTCAGCATGCACACAACCATGAGGGCACGTTCTATAAAAGGATTACACAGCAGTATTTCCCTTGTCCATTAGTAGCATCCCTGGAGCATAGCCTCATTGCTACACACCCACATGCTCAAGTGCTAATAATTAGTTCTTGGAAACTGTGGCCAATCTGTTCAGTGATGGAAAATCTTTGTAATTTCTGTAGGCTTTCAAACACTTTGTGCCTCAGAGCTACAGCTACCAGCCCTAAAATCACAGGGATATTGCTCTTTAATTCAGAACATGTTTAAAAGTCTGCTTTAAAGGAATATATCCTAAAAATATCAAAACAACAGATAAAATATTATTTCTCAAATGCACCTCTGTCATGAGAAATTAATAAAAGGCAACATAAGCCCTTCCCAACCACTTTAAACTGCAACAGCAAGTGCAGCAATAGGCCCAAACCAAGGGGCAGATTCAGATGGAAGGATTTTACCTAGCTCCCCCTCCCCTAAGAAATTCATACAGATTTGGACTAAGAGATTAGGGATTGATTTGGTGAGAATCCCTCTATTTAAATCTGTCCTTAAGGTTTTAGTTCTGGACTGGCAGCAGCAGGGAAGGAATCTCATCAGAACAAATCTTGAGTGAATCCTATAATCCAAGGGGACAGGAAGCTCAAGCTCTGGAGCTGACATCTCCCAAGAGCATTTTATAGGAGTCCAGCACTGTCAAATCTGAACCCTATGTTAATGAGAAAGGGTGGGATTTTCAAAGGTGCCTTTTAAATTTGTTTAATGATGACTGTACTCACTTTGTGGGGTGCTTTGAAGCTTTAGGTCTATAAAGTACTTTATCTAAATCTACAGAACTGCTGTGTCTTAAAGGTACTATTTGCACAATGACATACAGTGTCCTGCACCTGGCTTGTCACAAACCACATCTAAAAGTGACTAGTAACTCACTGCAAACAAAATCCTGCACAATGGGATAATTCAACAAGTTGCCTTCTGCCAGTTCATTGGGGACCTGATGAAAAGCCCCACAAAAAATAATCAAGGGAAAGGCTTCCATTAATACCAATAAACATTACATCAGGACTTTATCAGAGACAGTCCTACAGGTAAACCAGCTTTTCAAAAGGATCTTACTTAAACATGCTGTCTATCTGGCCATTAGCAGAGTGAAATACATGATATATTCAGGAAGGACTCTTGCACAGAAGCAATTGTTGGGTCAGCATCATTTATATATATTTTACTTTGCTATATTTATGCTACATGCTATATAGTCACAAATTACTTTGTGACTCATGCTTTGACCTGCAGTACCAACTTACAAGAGGGAGAGAATGTGCATCCCCAAATAACTACAGCACAGAGGACTCTTTTTATGTGCATAGCACATGCCATGCCCCAAAACCTTCTAAGGATCCACACAGAAAGATAGAAATTCCCTCCCTACTGTACATCCACAGCAAGACATGTCTAAACAGTCAAAAACAACCTGCCCTTCAGAAAATGAAAGGGAATTACTTTTTGGTCTTTAGTGCTTCAGTGGGAGCAGACCCTCCTCTGGATCACTATTTTATTTAAAATGAGGTTTTTGGTTTGTGTTTTAAAAAGGAAGATTTAATTCTTTTCAGAACAAGATCCAAGCCCAAGACACCTGCCTGCACACTTTGGCACTTGGCTGTGCAGTATTGTCCCAGATCAGTCCTGGACCTTCTTACCTGCTGTGTTTTATTTCAGAATCCAGCAATATCATTTAAAAAATGTTCACTCATTCATCTCTGCTCCACAGTTCAACAGTTTTAATCAAGTACAGCAGGATTTTCCGGGGAGAGGAAGTGGGGTGGAAACCCTGCTTTAGACCCCTTGCAGTTCTGATCTTTGACCCTTGCTATAACTGATTCTGAGAACCCCTGCGTGATATGTGAACTGTGCAAAATTTGGTTTGAGGCTGTTTTTTAAAGCCCTGCTTCACAACTTGCCTACCTGATAGTATTTGTGGTACAGAACACCAAAAGGGGAGAAGTCATTAAAACAGGAACATAGATAAATAGAATAAAAATTATTCTCATTTGAATGAGTTAACCCTTGGAGGCAGCAGATTTTAATTCTGGGGAAGAGCAGACCCTTTGTTCCTCTTAATATGCATGAGTGATTGACAGTTCATTAATATTGCTTAAAGCCGTAAAGACTATAGAATCAAAATTAGAAGTGAAGGGGAAAAGACCTAATTTTAAAGTAATTTGAGCCCTAAATCTTCATTTTAGGTCAGTATATGAAGTGTACGCATTTGTTGGGACAGATTCTGAACTTGGTTACATTGTTATAAATCTGAAGTAACTCCAGTAAGAAGAGTTCTG